TATATATATATATATATATATATATATATATATATATATATATATATATATATATATATATATATTATGGTGAATAAAGAAACTAATACTTTTATTCAGCAAGGGTGTATTAAATCAGGGGTGCCCAACCCTGCTCCTGGCGATCGACTGTCCTGCAAAGTTTAGCTCCAACTCTAATCAAAGACACCTGCCTTTAATTTTTAAGTGATCCTGAATACCCTAATTAGTTGCTTCAGGTGTGTTTGATTAGGGTTGGAGCTGAACTTTGCAGGAGAGTCGATCGCCAGGAGCAGGGTTGGGCACCCCTGTATTAAATTGATCAAAAGTGACAGTGAAGATGATTTACATTTCATATAAATGTTGATCTTTTGAATGTTCTTTTCATGGAAACCTGGAATCCTGGAAAAAATAATGTATTACGATTTCCAAAATTTTAAGCAAAACTGTTTTCAACATTGATAATAAGAAGAAATATTTCTTGAGCACCAGCATATTAGAATGATTTCTGAAGGATCATGTGATCCTGAAGCGTGGAGTAATGGCTCCTGAAAATTCAGCTTTGTCATCACAGGAATAAATTACATTTTAAAATACATTAAAATAGAAAACAACTGTTTTAAACTGTAAAAATATTTCAAAAATAATACTGTTTTTACATTTTAATCCCAAAAAATTTGCTTTGTTGAACCTAAGAGTCTTCTTTCAAAAATATTAAAAAATCTTACCAACCACAAAATTGAACATTAGTGTACTTTAAAAGCAAATGGGTTTACTAATAAAAAAAAAAACATACTGTCTGTCAATAGTGTTGCATTTTAAAATCTCAGAATCAGCAGTGGCTGTTTGTTGACCCTTGATCAAGATTAGTGTTTGTTTGTTTAGGTGGTGGCTCTTGAATGAATGTAAGTACAGGAAACAGCATTTGTGTGCCTGAATAAGCTTTTAAACCGCAACAGTCACAGAGAGTAAAGACCTGCTGCTGACCCTGCCTGCGATAAGCCCACTGCAGCACTGCAGCAGCTCAGAGCTCAAGCACCATCAAGCAGAAAGAGATGGTCACAAACACTCTGAGCAAATCCAGCATGCTCTAAATCACAAAGAAGGCACTCTAGAATGTGGACAGTAAGCCATGATGGGCAGTCAGTCTCTGGGGTGAAGGGCCTCTAATGCACTCGGGCCGTTTCCATGTTGTGCCCTTGAAAATGTGCTGAAAGTATGATTTGTGCATGGCAACTCCATTCAAAGAGGCTTTTGCTCACTGGTCATGTGCAACTTGGTCTAGTGTGTGTTTTAAATCCATGGCCTTACATCTACTGTCAAGACTGTTTATCAGTGATCAGCCTCTTTCTGACTTCTCATTTGAATATTTTCATCTTTCTCCATTAAAAATGCAACTTTTAAAGCATTTACAGTCTGAAATGCCAAGAAGTGATCATTCACAGGTAGATGTTCTTGCTTCATGGCTTCAGTCATCATTCTTCTGTCCATTAAAATCTATGTTCCTGAAATTACTTTGCCTGAGAGAGAGATTTCCTTAAACGTTAGATTAGCTGCCAGACAGTGAGTCTGAATGGACTGGAGACAAGTGATGGTCTGATCAACCATACACCATTTTAAAAAGCCATCTGTTGTACAGTCTGTGTGTCTGTATGTGTTTTCCTCGTGTGTTTTTTTCCTTTATTACAGCTGCTCTATTTTTTACCCATACACAGACAACACAGTTAATTTGATTTGGGTGCTTCTCTGAAAATGAATGCTATCTGAGCAACACACCAAAAATGTCTTGGTCCAAAGTTACATTTCCAACGGCTATAATGACCTGTCAGTGTGTCAGATCCCAGTGCCCTGGCTGTCAGCTCTCACCAATAATCAGACAAAAGACAGAACTGAAGATTAGAGTCTGACTGTCAGCGACAGCATTCACTCGCACGTCTGAATGACTGTGGCAGGTGGAGCTGTTCTTTCATTTACCAATCACAGGAGCAGGGAGCACTCCTGTTAAATACGGATAGCATATCTCCATATCGCTCCCTTTGGGTTGCAATCTAGATTTCACTCAGACTGATCAAGACTGATTTCATGGTCTGAAATAATTGGATATTGATGTAAAAAGAGTAACAGAACAAAAAAAAAAAAAACTTGCTTTGTGTCTGTAGCTGCAAGCTGTAGTGATGTCAGAGTGATTCTCACACCACAGTCACATTCTACAGTGGCGTTTGCCAATGGAAGAGACACTGAAATTATACCAGGGTGTTGTGGTTGTTGCTAGGGCATTACTATGTGGTTTCTTAGGTAGTTGCTTACTAGTCAAATAATTTATTTGATTTATTTATTTGATCAAAGATACAAAAACAGTAATATTGTAAATTATTTTTTACAATTTAAAATAATTGTTTTCTATTTAAAAAAATAATAATTCTAGTGATGACAAAGCTGAATTTTCGGCAGCCATTACTGTCTTCATTGTCACCTTTAGATATCGTTCTAATATGCTGATTTGGTGCTCTGTTGTTATCAAATAGAAACCTTTTGTAACATTATAAATGTCTTTACTGTCACTTTTGATCAATTTAATGTGTTCTTGCTGAATAAATGTATTTTTTTCTTTCTTTCCACAAAAATTAGAAAACAGTTATTTTAAAGTATAATTATATTGTATTATACATCCATTATATATATATATATATATATATATATGAGTGTGTGTGTGTGTTATAATATATGTGATAATTTTATTTGCCATGGCATGTCTGTTCTGAAAGTAAGAATGTAAACATTTTGTCTTTCTTCATATATTCTTCTTTATATTCTGCCCCGTAAATGTCTTCTTTTTTTTCTTTTACACTCTAGGTTTTGTGTAGTATTCATAAATTTGAGAGGCACGTTTCTCGGTTCAACTTTTGTTTGCTTTGGCATTTGCTAAAGTGGAGCTGTGGCTTATCATGATGCAGCGCTCCCCAACTTCGGTGACATTTAAGAAATAATATCAATATTCATGAAGCATAAGAGTAAACATAGCATACTGACAGAGTTATGCAGCTAGACGTGGGTCATCTGGGCACTTATGATTACAATCTGTCAGTTATATGATGGAAGATGTCCTTTTCCTGTGTGTTCCCATTCTGTTCTTTCACCCCTTCATGTGCACATACAAGGTATTTTTGTCCTTTATGTCTACAAGATGGACTGGGGCTGAACATCTCTTTTGCATTTGGAGCTCTGTTTCACCATCATTAATTTATCACAATCAAACTTGAATTCAAGAATCCAAACTGGTGGATATGGACATATTCTTGCAGCATTTTGCCTCACTAACTGCTATATTTAAAAAATGCTTTAAAACGGTTAGTTATGAGTGTGTGTTGGTAGAAATTCAATGGCTATGTTTGTAATGGAATACTAGCCTACTACTTACTGAATACTACTTAGTGTATACTGTCCCTTTAAATCATGTAAATTCACTCGGCAGCAGTTTTGATAAATCCTCCAGGTAGCTGTTTTCTATGTAGTTATAGGAATGCAAGTATAGCTTCTATCTACTTGAATGTTGAAAGACAAAACTTTCCAAAAACGGCTTATGAATATTATGTTTTGAGAATGAATTTCAAATTAACAATAAATTCAGATAACAGTGGTATCAAATGCTTCTTTAACTGAAGTCACTTTCATGCACGTCCAAATATTGTGCATGCATGTTTTAGAGTAAACAAATCATATAAAAATGCCATATTGAGCATTTTGATTTGAGCGTTTAATTTTATATGAGTGGTCTGCCACTTCCTCCTATACTGTCTCTAATACCACCTAATATGTTTTAAAAAACATATTAGGTGTGAACTAGTAGGCACTATTCCATAATAAATGTTTAGGGTCGGTAAAAATGTTTTTTGAAAGAAGCCTCTTAAGCTCACCAAGGTGTTTGTTTGATCAAAAATACAGTAATATTGTGAAATATTATTACAATTTAAAATAAAATTTTTCTAGTTGAATGTATTTTAAAATGTAATTCATTCCTGTGATGGTAAAGCTGAATTTTCAGCATCATTACTCCAGTCTTCAGTGTCACATGATCTGTCAGAAATCATTCTAATATGCTGATTTGCTGCTCAAGAAACATTTATTATTACCAACGTTGAAACTGTTGTGCTGCTTAATATTTTCGTTGAACCTGTTTTATATTTTTAATGTCTTAACTGTTACTTCAGATCAGTTTAATGCATCCTTGCTGAATGAAAGTATGAATTTCCTTAAAAAGAAAAAAATAAACTTATGAATGTTGGTGTGTTTTATATTTTAAACAATTTTATTTAAATTTAATAAAACAAAGTCAAAAATTAAATAAAAAAAAATACCAACACCATTGCATTTGTTTCATTTATCACACTGTGACTAGTCCAGTTGAGTGCATAGCATTGTGAGATAGAGTATCTCATAAAAATAGTAAGAGTAATAATAGTATGCTATTCAGAATATAGCTTTTTTTCTGCAAAAAGCCATTGAATTTAGATTGCCTCTGATAGTCTCTTCCTCCTCCATCCTTTCATCATCCTCCTTGAAAAATCTACTTTTCTGCCACCCTTTGTTTAGCATCTCCTTCACAGGTGTTCAAAGACAGCAAGCGAGATCTCAGTTGTGTCACTCTTCCTTTTTGCCTCATTTCAAATGGACAGCTGCGTTGTTAAAGGAAGGAAACGTTTCTTCACATAGGTTGGCCTTATTTAGAGCCATTCAACGAACTGAGCAGTGATGTGAGAGTGGGGTAAATATCTTATTTGAGGTGCTGGTATGCTGTTGAAATGGTTAATGATAGCTCTTGCTGCACCCTGCGGTCCTCCAACTTGGGCCTTGCTCGCATAAGCGGGAAGATTTGTTCCACGCTGATTAGCCCTGGAGAAAACCTCCATTCTCTCCCACTGATGGGCTAATGAGGAGAAGCAGCCGATTAACATGGCAGAATAAAGGTGGCTGCACATTCAGAGACCACACGTTCTGACTGAGACATGGAGAGATGTGAGGAAAGGAAGGTGAATGCGGCTTCCAGGGACAATTAGACGCTTGTGTGGGGGATGTTGCACATGTTGAGGCTCATTCTTTGGAGCAGTGCTGTTTGTGACTTGTGTGTGTGTATGTGTGTGTGTGAATGGATGTGATGAAACCTTATGAAATATGCTTATGCTTGCCAAACGTCCATCCGGCATATCACACTCACAAGAAACAAGGCTTGTGTGAAAACATTTATAGTAGCTTGTTTTGCATGCTGTTTCAGTAGATCAGACATTCCTAATATGCGTACACAACAATGTGTAATTGGTAACAAAGTTACACTTTCTGAGCCATAGTCAAAGTAATATTCTGGGATTAGTAGAAGTTAAGCTCAACTGACAGCATTTGTGGTGTGATGTTGATTACATTTCTTTGAAACATTTTTTTTCCCCTTTTCTTTCTTTATTTTTTTTCTTTTTACCATGAGGTCCTTGCAGTGGAATTGAATGAGGCCAATACATAAATGTTAAAATACTGTCTCTTTTAAAAGCCACACAAAGAAAACAATATGAATGTTAGAATTAATTTAGTGTAAAAAAACTGCTTACTTTAACTTTTTTTTTGCGTTAAGTTATATTAAATTGTATAACTTTGTTGTCATGACAACAGAATACCATACAACTCTAAAATGACTGTAAAAATTATGATTTAAACAGCTTTACAGCTAAAATAATACACAAGTTTTTATACAATTATATATATTTTATAATATACAGTATATACAGTATATTAAAATTATATATTCACATTTCAGTTTTTTAATCCTCAAAAATTGGCACTGTTTAATTCCATTGTGCACTACACACTTTTTCTTAAAATAAATTAATACTGACATTAGTAAATAATTAGTTCTAATAATTAGTAAATAAGTGATTAGTTAATAATTACATGTATTAAAAATGACAGTAAATATATTTATATTTGAACTTCCTGTTCATCAAAGAATCTTGAAAATAATTGATCCTGGTTTCCAAAACAATATTAAGCAACACAACTGTTTTCAACATTAATAATGATAAGAAGTGTTTCATAAACACCAAATCAGCACATTAAAATGCTTTTTGAAGGATAATGTTACACCAAATGTAGTAATGGCTGCTGCAAATTCAGCTTTGCCATCACATGAATAAATTACATTTTAAAATAGAAAGTAGTTATTTTAATGGTAATATTTCAAAAGACACTAAAGACTATATATAAGATTTATA